AGAGAAGCCACAGCCGGGGTGTCCTGCAGTTGCAGTGCATCATGGGTCACCTAGGCCCCATTGACTAGTGGGAGGTGTCGTTTAATTATCTCCACGCCGCTTGCAGGGCCCCGGGCAGGGGCCAGTCTTAGACCCGCTGACGTGCCGGGAGCAGCCGGTTATGCAGCCCGGACGCCGGGGTTCTCTCCCCGGCTCTGGGCGGCGCATGGGGTGGGCGGGAGCCGGGACCCCAGGATTGTGGCCAAGGACCTTGGCATCGGGACCCTCCCCAGGGGCCGAGGTCCGGCCTCCCCCTTGGGACCCCGCCTAGAAAAACAACGGTTGTGATAATAAATCGGGTTGCTGAGGCGCGGCGGGACCGGGGGTTGGGTGGGGGAGGCGGCGCAAAAGGGGGGGGTATGTAAAAAGACTGACAAATAGGCTCTCAGGCAGCCGAATCTGATGACCGGCTGCTGGTTGGCTGAGCCTCTCCCTGAACCCGCCCCCTTCCCCCTGTGGGCTCTCTTCTCTCCCCCCTTCGTTGCGTCGCTTCCAAATAAGGGCGTGAACAACTGCACAGACAGAGGCCCCGCCTCTTGCAGCATCCACTCCTTATAAGGACATCTAGGGCAGAGAGGAAGCCCCCCCACACCCCACCCGCACAGGCCCTTAGCACGGAGGCAGGGGGAGGGACCCTGAGCGGCCCCAGGGCGTCCTTGCTGCGGCCCACCGCGCTCCCTGTTCTCTGGCTGTTGGCCTGGGACCCTGCCCAGACCCAGCCTTGCCCGCGGCAGTGTTGCCAACTCTCATGATTTTGTCCTGGCAATGATAGTTTTCCTTAACGCCTCGGCTCCTGGAGGCAAGTGGCAATGTGAGGCCTTCAGCCGTCATTCTTAAAGAAAAATACCTGTCGAGCCCTGGTGGCCATGGAAAACGCTGCAAAATGTGACCCCCCCGGCACCCTGAAAGCTCAAAAGCAGATGGCAACTAAAAAAGACCAAACTGCTTATTTGTAGCTAATCTCATGATTTTAAAGCCAATCTCATGACTATTGAACCCTTGGGGTTGGCAGTACTGCCACAGGGACAGTTTCGCTGGGCTGTACCCAGGAGCAACCGTAGGCATTTTGCCTGGCAGGCTTGAAAACGTTTTGGGTACCCCCTCAACTGCTTTCCCCTGGGGTACTGGCTGCAGGAAAGGGGGGGAAAAGGCGGAGGGACACGGTACCCTCTGGAAGTTGGCTGCCAAGGTGACTGCCCTGTTCATCGGACTCTACAAGCAGCCCTGGTTATACCTCTTAGGGGTAATCCTGCTGCTGCTCCCATCCTTTGGGCCAAAACCCAAGCAGAATTTACATGTCACCGTAGAAGTGGTCCCTGTTCTGCTCCAGAGTTAACAGGCAGTGTCAAACCCCTCCATGCCGCTGTTCCAGGCACCTGCACAACTCAGCAGGGAGTGCTCTTCCCCCAAAACCAGTGCTGAGCCCACCAGTGAACCCTGTATGAACAGCCCCTTCACACCACCCCACAGGAAACTGTGACTCAGAACCAAGGGAGGGATCCCTGTATAAACAGTCCCTGTGGCCCACCCCAGAGGCACCTGGGTCTCAGAGCTGGGCAAGGGCTGTCTGTGGGGAAGGACTGTCTCCAGGCAGGAGAATATCTATCCCAAGGGATTAACCAAATGCTCCCTAGATTATCCCCCTCACCGATCAAATTGAGAAACCACCTGTATGTGTGTGTTGGGGGGTGGGGGGGGAGGAGAGCCACCTGGGTTGGGGACAGCTGGTGAGGAAGGATGATCTGAAGCCAAGACAGTGGCTCTCATGGTGGGGGCAGGTTGGTTCCCCTCCTTTCTCAGCACGACCCCTTGAAGTAGGGTGACCACATGTCCTGTTTTGGCCAGGACAGTCCCTCTTTTAAGCCCTGTCCTGGCCATCCCAACTTTTTGACAAAAGGGGCATTTGTCCCGTTTGCTCTTGCTGACTTCATCAGTTGGCAAGAGCAAATGACAAATGCCCATTTTTGTCAAAAAGGTGAGGTGTGGTGCAGAGAAACTTGCAGGGGGCAGCCAGCGCTTGGGCGAGCAGCGACCCCAGTCACGTGGTGGCGGCAGCCAGGGCTCGGGCGAGCAACGACCCCAGCCATGCGTGGGCAGCAGCCAGGGCTCAGGCGAGCAGCGACCCCAGCCCCGGCTGTGCACATGAAGGGGAAGGCAGGGCTTGGGTGAGCAGCTCAGGCCAGCCGCGTGGCGGGGTGGGACACTTGGGTCAGGCCCCACACTTTGTCCCATTTTCTCTTGAAGGTCCCATCTGGGTCAACCTCATGAATATGCATGAACCTATTCATCAATATGTACATTCCTCTTGTCACACACGTTTCCCCTTCCCCTATCCCTTACACCTTCCCCAGCCAGGCTAAAAGCCGTATAGCAGTGGTTCTCAACCAGGGTAAGTGTACCTCTGGGGTACACAGGGGTCTTCCAGGGGCCACATCAACTCATCTAGATATTTGCCTAGTTTTACAACAGGTTACAGAAAAAGCACTAGTGAAGTCAGTACAAACTAAAATTTCATACAATGACCTGTATATATTGCTCTATATACTATACCGGGGTGGCCAACCTGAGAAGGAGACAGAATTTACCAATGTACATTGCCAAAGAGCCTCAGTAATACGGCAGTAACCCCCCCATGAGCACCCCCTGACTCCCAGCGCCTCCCACCCACCGGCAGCCCCGCTGATCAGAGACTCCCGCACCTCTGGACATGCAGCATGCAGGAGGCTCTGGCGGCGAGAGGAAGGAGTGAGGGCATGGCAGTCTCAGGGGAGAGGGCCGGAAGGGGTGGAGTGGGGGCAGGGCCTGTGGCAGGGGCAGGGCCTGTGGCAGAGCCAGGAGTTGAGCAGTGAGCCCCCCCAACCCGGTACATTGGGAAGTTGGAGCCTGTAGCTCCAGCCCCAGAGTTGGTGCCTATACAAGAGCTGCCTGTGGCTCCGGAGCCACAGGTTGGCCACCCCATACTATACACTGAAAGTACAATATTTATATTCCATTTGATTTTTTCATAATTGTCTGGTAAAAAAAGAGAAAGTAAGCCATTTTTCAGTAATAGTGTGCTGTGACACTTTTCTATTTTTATGTCTGATTTTGTAAGCAAGTAGTTTTTAAGTGTGGTGAAACTTGGGGGTACGCAAGACAAATCAGACTTGTGAAAGGGTTACAGCAGTCTGTAAAAAGGTTGAGAATCACTGGCCCTGTAGCTTGGCCAGGGAGGGATGGGGGTTGAGCAAGGCACCTGCCCCCTAGTGCTTCCTGTCCCCCAGGCTTGGTGGCCAAGATCAGGGGAGCCCCCACAACACTGCTGGGGGAGAAGGTGAGCGACAGAAGGAGTTAAGAAGGAGAGAGGCAGCTGGAGGGGTCTCCATGGGTATGGTGAGTTCCCCCCTCAGCTCAGCCAGTTCCCCTCAGCCCCAACCCATAGCTTCCTGCTACCCCAGCCCTGGGCTCCCCCAGCTCTGCCCGTGCCTCTCACCCCCGACCCATAGCCTCCTGCTACCCCAGCCCTGGGCTCCCCCAGCTCTGCCCGTGCCTCTCACCCCCGACCCATAGCCTCCTGCTACCCCAGCCCTGGGCTCCCCCAGCTCTGCCCGTGCCTCTCACCCCCGACCCATAGCCTCCTGCTACCCCAGCCCTGGGCTCCCCAGCTCTGCCCGTGCCTCTCACCCCCGACCCCCTCCTGCTCCCCCCCCCCCCGCCCCCCCCAAACCCCATCCCCCAGCTCTCACCCGACCCACCCTGCACCCCAGCCCCCATTCCCTCACCCCCCAACTCCTCCCCCCTCCCCCCCCCCCCCCCCCCCTCACGACCCATAGTCCTGTACCAGCCTGGCTCCCCAGCTCTGCCCTCCCCCTCACCAGCCCTCCCCCCCTCCTCCTCACCCCCGACCCATAGCCTCCTGCTACCCCAGCCCTGGGCTCCCCAGCTCTGCCCGTGCCTCTCACCCCCGACCCATAGCCTCCTGCTACCCCAGCCCTGGGCTCCCCCAGCTCTGCCCGTGCCCCTCACCCCCGACCCATAGCCTCCTGCTACCCCAGCCCTGGGCTCCCCCAGCTCTGCCCGTGCCCCTCACCCCCGACCCATAGCCTCCTGCTACCCCAGCCCTGGGCTCCCCCAGCTCTGCCCTTCCTCACCCCCGACCCATAGCCTCCTGCTACCCAGCCCTGGGCTCCCCAGCTCTGCCGTGCCCCCCCCGACCCATAGCCTCCTGCACCCCAGCCCTGGGCCCCCGCCCCCCCCCCCGCTACCCCAGCCCGCCCCACTCACCCCCGACCCATAGCCTCCTGCTACCCCAGCCCTGGGCTCCCCAGCTCTGCTCCTCACCCCCGACCCAAGCCTCTGTACCCCAGCCCTGGGCTCCCCTGCCCGCCCTCACCCCCGACCCATAGCCTCCTGCTACCCCAGCCCTGGGCTCCCCCAGCTCTGCCCGTGCCCCTCACCCCCGACCCATAGCCTCCTGCTACCCCAGCCCTGGGCTCCCCCAGCTCTGCCCGTGCCTCTCACCCCCGACCCATAGCCTCCTGCTACCCCAGCCCTGGGCTCCCCCAGCTCTGCCCGTGCCCCTCACCCCCGACCCATAGCCTCCTGCTACCCCAGCCCTGGGCTCCCCCAGCTCTGCCCGTGCCCCTCACCCCCGACCCATAGCCTCCTGCTACCCCAGCCCTGGGCTCCCCCAGCTCTGCCCGTGCCCCTCACCCCCGACCCATAGCCTCCTGCTACCCCAGCCCTGGGCTCCCCCAGCTCTGCCCGTGCTCCCGGCCTCGACCCCCGATTCTCTTTCTGTTCCGAGCGGTACCCGCAGAGCTCGGCCATCGCGGAGTTTTCGTCTTTTCTGACCGCTAGATGGCGCTGGAGAGCCCCTCCGGGCACACTCTATCCCGGGCACATCGCCGCTCTCTATGGTTCCCAGCAGCCAGGGGCGGTGCTCCGAGAAGCCGGGGCCCCGGCGGGAAAAGGGTAGAATCGCTTCCGGCTCAGGGGTCGCGGTGCCGCCCCCCCCCCCGCGGGGCAGAGTGTGGGGGTCTCCCCCATGCTGCAGCTAGTGGGTTAGCGGGAACCCAGGAGTCCGGGGGAACCCCTCCCATCTCGTTTGGGGGGGGGGCTGGCTGTCGCCCCCTCACCCCCCTGACATTAAAGAGTGACTCCGATCGGGGGCGGCAGAGCCAGGCCGCCTCCCGTCCCCGCGTCCCCCCGCTGGGGCTGGATCGGAGCCAGCGCCCCCGAGAGGGGAAAGGCCCCGGGTCCCTGCGGAGATGGCGGCCCCCCGGCGGCTGGGGCGGAAGAAGCCGGTGCCCGCCTGCCCTAACCCCCTCTTCGTGCAGTGGCTGACCGAGTGGAGGGATGAGGCCGCTGAGAAGGGCAAGAAGACCCAGTTCGTGTATCAGAGGGTGAGCTCGCCCCCTCCCCGCAGGCGTCCCGGTTCCTGCCCCCCCCCCCCGCTCTGACCACTGCACTGCACTCCCCTCCCGAGCTGGGACTAGAACCCAGGAGTCCTGGTCCTCAGCCCCCTGACCTAACCCACTAGACCCCACTCCCTTGCGAGAGCTTGGCGAGAACCCCGGAGTCCTGGCTCTTATTGCTGGGACCCCATTGGGAGGGGTGTGGGGGGGCTGGAGGCTCCCCGTGTCAGTGTTTCTTCCCCCTCAGGCTCTGGGCTCCCTTCGAAGGTACCCGCTGCCCCTGGACAGTGGGCGTGAGGCCGCGATTCTGCAGCATTTTGGGGACGGGATCTGCCGGAGGCTGGACGAGCGGCTGGAGAGGCACCGTGCTGAGCAGGGTAGGTGAAGAGCACCAGGGATGGGGTGTCAGGACTGAAGGGGTCCCCCAAGATGGCATGGTGTGAGAAGAAGACTGAAGGAGGCTGAGCGGGGGGTGGGCAGCCACACAGGGGCATAGGTGCACTGGGGTGTAAAGGACTCCTGGGTAGTTGGTTCCACTCGGTTTAGGGATCCTTAGCAACTGTGGTAGATTTAAAATCAAATGACAGTGCTTTGTTATTGTAGGGTCTCTCCTAGGGAGTGGGAGGATATTGTCTCCCCCTCCCTCCCATCAGGCCCGTCCTTGAGCCTAGCAAGTGAGAGGTTGCTCCCAGTAAGGCGCCCTCTGTGCCTCCTGGCCCTGTCCCAGCTGGAGGGTGGGGGTCAGGGTCGGGCTGGCTGAGGGAGGCAGGGAACGGGAGACAGGGCCTGTCCTCTCTTGGGGGCCCTGGGCCTGGATCGGAGCCTTTGCAGGGGAACTGGCTGCTTGGGGGAGGTCCTGTCTTATTTCTATTTGAACCCTAGGTGCAGATGCCCCCCTTGAAGCCATGGGAAGGGCCAGCCCCTCCAGGGGGGGCCAGGAAAGTGATCCCCCTGGCACAGAGCATCGCTCCCTCAACAACCCCTCTGCCTCACAGACCTTACTTGGGGATTTGGAGCCTCCCCCCACGGTGAGAGCACTGCCTCTGGCAGAAGGACTCCTGGGTTCTACTTCCTGGCTCTGGGAAGGGAATGGGGTATAGTGGTTAGAGAAGGGAGGGGTGTGGAGTCATGACTCCTGGGTTCTATCCCTGGCTCTGACTCTCAGATGCTACGTAAGTCCCCTTGCCTCTCTGGGGTGGAGTGGGTTTGTGTGAGAGACACTGGGTTGCAGGGACAGGTTGGGGCTTGGGGGGATGTCAGAGGCAGCGAGGGGATCAGAGCTGGGGGATCCTGCTAATTGACACTTTTCTTTCCAGAGGAAGGCCCGTCCCCCCCGGCAGTATGTCCCAGCCCCACACTCTGGGGCCTATGCTGTGCTGCTAGCCCTCTATAAGGACAGCATGGTAAGCCTGGAATCCTGGGTTCCATGCCCAGCTCTGGGAGGGGCATGAGGTCTAATGGTTAGAGCAGTGGGCTGGGAGGCAGGACTCCTGGGTTCTATTCTTAGCTCTGCAAGTGGTGTTAATGGTTAGAGCAGTGGGCTGGGAGGCCTGGCCTCCTATGTTCTCTTCCCCAGTGCTGACTCCTCCTGCTCCCCCTTACAGAGCCCACGCAGCCGGGGGTTCCTGACGAAGCCTGAGCTGCAGCGGGCAGCTCAGCCGCTGTGTGACAAATCCTTCACCCTGGTGAGTGAGAGCTGCCTTGGAGAATCCCCCGGCCTGCCATCCCCTTTCAGTCTGGGCACCATCAAACACCCATCATGAGGTTCTGGAGTTGATGGGTTCTGGAGATGGCTTGAGGAACCATCACTCCTGGCGCAGGGATCTGAGCCCATCACCCCACCCCCTCAAGTTTACCTACCCCCTCTGCTTCCCCCAGCCGTGCCTTCCTCCCTTGCTCCAAGCTCTGCTGGGGCTCAGGTAGGTCCCACCCAGCAGAGTCACATGGGGTATCTGTGTCTTGCAGGTCGACCCTGGAAATAGGTACACGGCTTGGGCATCGGTGGGTACCTTGATCCGCAAAGAGCTGGTGCTGAAAACCAATGTCCCAGCCAGGTAGGGGGTGCTGTGCTGCAGAGGACACGATTCAGGGCTTGCTAAGGGCATCATGGTATGAGGGGGTGCTGGGCTTTGGAGGGGGTGCCATGTTGTAAAGAATGGGGGGCTCATCAGGGAGTAGTGTAGTGCTGGGAGTTGTTGTGGACATGCCCCGGCCTTTACACAGTCTCCTGGTGGTAACCCCAGCACCCATGTGCCCACACCTTCCCCAAGGGCTGCTGAGGAGCCTTAGTAACTCACTGTGGGTCTCCGCTGGGCTTGCTGCAGAAATCAGAACTCCTGCAGCAGCTTTTCCTTCCTAGGGAGCGATACCAGGATCTGCAGTGAGGCAGGGCAGCATGGCCAGGCCGAAGGAGCATTGATTAGTCACTTGGGATCCAGTGTCACAGGGTCCTCAGGCCGGCCTGGGAAAGCCACACTTAGAGTCCATGTTGGTAGCAGCAGCGGCTTTGCCACTCCCTGGTTCTCTGCACTCCATCTTCACTCTGTCCATGCAGGTGTCCTGTCTGTTCACAGCAGCAACCTTCAAACCAGCCCCTTGACAGCTTGTTCCTTTGTTTCAGCTGGGGGGTTTCTTTCAAGGCCCAGAATGCCCTTTGACGCTGGGCCATCCAGAGCGCTTTGTCTGGCTCGCCCTTCGATACAGCTCAGTGCTGGGAGCAGCTCAGGAGCTAATTGCATTACAAATCTCCAGTAATACCCTGCCATCCCACTGAAGGAGTAGGTCTGTTTCTTGGTTTGGGAAGCAGGCCAGTCCTTAACAGCCTCCACCTTTGCAGATTCTGGCCTTCTACAGCTACTCCCCACCTTGTGTCCTAGATAAGCCACCTCAGCAATCCCCACTCTACACTTTCCATCTTTGAGGGGGTCAGGTACCCCCCTAACCTAGGCCACATGCTCTTCCCAGATGTGGCTAGAAATGTCATCAACATATGCTTAGGCCAAGTTCTCCATTCGTAACTGAGCTACCAGACGCTGAAAGATAGTAGATGCCCCTTTAGGACAGAGGGTAAAACCAGGAAATCCTAGAGCTCCGCTGAGGGGTGAAGGCACCTGGTACCTGCCAGTCGTCCTTGGTGAGCTCCATGGTGCTACGGTAACATGCATCCCCACTTGTCTAGAATCTCTTCCATTGAAGGCATGGGCTAAGCGTCAGACACTGTGGTTGCATGACACTTTCCCTAATCCACAGAGAAACCATCGCCCTCTGCTGTGTGGGTGCCAGCACCACAGCTATGGCCCAGGCACTGTTGGGCAGCTGAATCCCCCCAAGGCGAGCATGTCAGATATATTCTTTTCCAGGTCATGGGCATTTTCCCCTTGACTGAAAGGAGAGCATCTAATGGGAGGGTTGGTCACCATCTCCATCTGGTGGACAATTAGGCTGGTGCACCCTGGTCTGCTGGAGGATACCTGCATGGAACATCACAGCCCCCGCCGCCCAAGCTTACAGCTTATTCTGCACTGGGATCAGTGCCATAAGCTGGTCCCCTAGTCCATGTTACTGGGCACACGCTTGCTGCCCACCAGCCTGCAAGGAGGGGAATCCAGCCTCTGGGGCCCTGGGTGTTTTAAGTCTCCCAGAGCCTGAGCAGAGTCCAGTCCCTGCCCCTGTTTTGGTCCCTTGGCACACTAAGGGTACAGCTCCTCCTGTGAGCTTAAACCCTGGGCACAGCACTGACCCCTCAGACTGCCCCATACTCAACCCCTGTCCCAAGGTGTGAGCTTTCTGGGTCTAGCTCAGCTCCCACAGGAGCCCCGCAGCAGCTGTGAAGCACATATCGCACCCGGACCCCACCCCGAAACTCACCTGCTGCCCTTTTACCTCATCACATGCAGCAGAGAGAGCTCAGATCCTGCAGCCCGACCTCCTGCCTGCAGTGCCTGCCACTAGCTCCCCTTCCCTGGGGAGGCCTCCACCCAGCTGGGCTCAGGCAGGGCCCCTGCTTCAAGGCTACTCTGTCGAAAATGGCCCAAACCTCCCAAGAGCTTAGCTCCTCCCCTTTATAACTGTCCAGCCTCCTCTGACCGGTGACTCCCTCATCAGCCGCACCAGGCGAGCCCGGCCCCACGACCTCACTGCCCAGGCCGCCTGCTGCTGCTACCCCAGCTCTCCTGGGGGGGCCAGTCTGTTGTCTAGGGTGAGTCCATTGCTGTGGCCGAGCACCTCACGTCGACGCTGCTCTGTGACTCCTTTGCCACCGGCCCTCGGACTCTCCGCCCACTGTGGGGGCGAACAAGGCGTCGGGTAGGTGAAAGGCTGCACCTCAAAGAGAGCGTCCCGTGTGGGAAGGAGCCAAGCAGCCAGTTCCTGCTCCCACTCGGAGTGCCTAGATTGTACCCACGCCTTCCCTATATCCTCACAGAGGCTTAATAGGGGCAGGGCAGGTGGGGTGGGGGGTTCAGTAGGGGGTTTTGTGCTGCCTGGAGGTTTGCTAGGGGTTCAGTAATAGTGCCGTGCTGCAAGGCTGGGGACTCGGGAGGTGCCAGGCTGTGGGGGCAGCAGAGGGGACTCAGTGGGTACAGATGCCCTTTGCTCCCCGCAGGTACTCTCTGACACCGCAGGGGCTGGTGCTAGCCCAGAGGCTTGTGGCTGTGGAGCAGGCCCTGATTTCAGAGGGTCGAGCCCCAGAATCCAAGACACCCCAGGGCACAGAGCCCACGGATCCTGCTGGGGAGGAGAAACTGCGCCCAGAGCCCCAGCTGTAAGTGCCAGCTCCAGACAGCCTGTGTGAGCCGGGGTGTACTCACGGGGGGGGGGAGGGGGCAGGGCTGGGAGCCAGGACTCCTGAGTTCTGCAGCACTGGGGGGAGTGGGGTCTAGCACGTTCAAGCAGAGGTGGTGGGAGTCGAGGGAGGGGGAAGGGAAGTGGGGACTAATAGTTAGGCTCCATTCATTGTGCTCTCTCTAGACCCAGCCACTGGCAATGTTAACCCGTTCTTTGCTGATCACTATAGCAGAAGCTCCCAACTTTCCGCAGCCCTGTGCTCTCTGTGGCGGGCTGGGACAGGACTTCCCCACCTTTCCTGGCCCCTCTCCAGGGCTGTGTTCTCACTGTGCTGTCTGCCCCACTTTGCTGCAGGCTTGACAGTGCCCTGGGACCCCTGGAGGGGACAGCAGGTGGCTCTGGAGGGCAGAGGCCCCATGACCCTGAATTCGTGCTGAGACCTGGCCAGTTTGACATCATCCTGTGTGTGGATTTCATCGAGACCATGGGGTGCGCTGGGGGGCCCGAGCTTCTGGCCGGGGGGACTGGGGGAGGGGGTTATAGGGCATCCTGAGCAGGGAGGCTTATTATGGGGATCCCAGGCAGGCTGGGCTCTGGGGGCTGAGGTGGGGAGGTCACTCAGTGTCCAGGAGGGTTGGGGGCATCTCAGGGGCCTTCTGAGCAGACCCCAGTCCCACCCCGTCTCTCCCTACAGTGGCCCAGCGGCCCGGAAGCAGGACCTGATGGCTGAGCTGCACAGGAACGCTGTGCCCTTCGACGTGCGCAAGCTGCATGTGGGGGACTTCATGTGGGTCGCCCGTGAGAGAGTCCAGCCCCGTCCAGGTAGGAGCCCCCAGGCCAGCAGGGAGGGAGGGCTCCTTGAGTGTAACTGGTGCTGCCTGAGCTCTGAGGGGTGGCCCCACCCCACACATCCCAGTGGGGCACTACCCTGGCACTAGGGTAGAGGTACTGGGGGGGGTCCCTGGCTGCCACTCCAAGTGTGTGTGGGAGAAAATATGGGGGTGGCAGAGCCTCACAGCACCAAGATTGCCTCATTCTGGCCATGCATGGACAGGGGGGTGGGGTCTTGTTCTCCCGTTCCTGAATCCCATCTCACCCCAGGGCAGCTGCACCTGCCCCCAGCGCAGGAGCTGGCCCTGGACTATGTGGTGGAGCGGAAGCGAATGGCTGACCTGTGTGGGAGCATCATCGACGGGCGCTTCCGTGAGCAGAAGGTGCGGGGGAATGGGGTGCCTGAGGCATTGAGGAGGGGATCTGGGGGCTGTCTGGATGGACTCATGGGGTGGGAGCCAGGGTGGATCTCCCTCCCATGCTAACCCCCCCACTCCACCCCCCAGTTCCGTCTGCGTCGCTGTGGCCTGCGCCATCCCATCTACCTGCTGGAGGAATCTGGATCGACCCAGCACCTGAGCCTGCCCGAGAGCACTCTGCAGCAGGCAGCCACCAGCACCCAGGTATGGGGACCCCTGCCCAGTACCCTGGTACAGCAACCCCCCCGCAGGACACTCCCCTCCCATACACATACGGCTCCTGAGCCTCCCACAGAGCGCCCTGCATCAGGTGACCACCAGCATCCAGCTACGGATTCCCCAACCCAGCACCCAGATGCAGGGGCCCTTCTGTGTCCGCTCCCCCTAACAATAGCACAGGGTTAAGGCCAGAAAATTTGAACCTCAAGGAGGCTGTGAACCCAGATGCACTGTCTTCCCCGCCCACTAGCCCCACTCCCTAATGCTCTCTTCCCCCACATGCAGGTAGTGGATGGCTTCTTTGTCAAACGCACCCGTGACCTGCGGGAATCAGCTGCGTATCTGACCATCATGACACGTCATCTGAATAGCCTGTATGGGGTGAGCAAGGGGCTGCGGGAGGGAAACAGAGCTCAGGGCTGGGCTGGGCTGGGGGTCAGGACTGAGGGGCACTGGCAGAGCTGGGGGGGAGGGGTGCACATGGCTGGGCTAGCACAGGGCTGTGGGTTAAGAGTGAGAGGCACCGGCAGATCTGGGGGAGGGGGAGTCCAGGGCTGGGCTAGCTGGAGGCTGTGGGTTGGGAGTGAGAGGGGGTGGCAGAGATGGGGGTTTGGGAGCCCAGGGCTGGGCGCTCTGGGGCAGGAGTGAGAGGGGGTGGCAGAGCTGGGAAGAGGGAGCCTGGGGCTAGGCTAGCAGGGGGCTGTGCATCTGGAGTGAGGGGTGCCAGCCAGGAGTAGGGGATGGTTGGTTGGATTTATGAGGTGCCCCTTTCCTCCCCAGAACAAGACCCTGATGAGCTGCACCAAGGAAGAGTCTCAGGGCCGCGGCCCACTGCAGCCCAACAGCGACTCCTGCACCCTAATGACCTTCCAGGAGTTCAATGAGGGAGCTGTCAAGAACAAGGTGAGACTGGGCAGAGTGGCCATGACCCTGTTTCCAGCCCCAGGACAGGGAATGGGTCGGGGGCACTGGCTGTGATCTGTCCCCAGGACAGGGGAAATGGCTGGCTTAGGGGGCAGGGAATGGGACACGGAGCCTTTCCCCTTCCGGGGATGCTGACTGTGATCCAGGGCAGGGGACTGGCTGGCTCCAGGAGCTGGGATGGCTCTGTCCTTTCCCAGGATCCTACCCTAGGGCTGGATTACTGGAGGACACCTTGGCAGTTCTCCCTGGCTCTGACCCCCTGTCCCCCATTTCTCTCTGGCTCCCTAGGCCCAGACTGTGCGTGAGGTGTTCGCTCGGCAGCTCATGCAGATCAGTGGCGTGAGCGGGGAGAAAGCAGCCGCCATTTTGGAGAGATACAGCACACCGGCCAGGTACAGGGCCCACCTGCCTGGGTTCTGGCCCCAGCTCTGGGAGGGGAGTGGGGTTTGGTGGGAGAGCAGTGGAAGGGCTGGGAGCCAGGACTCCTGGGTTCCTTTCCTATTTGACTGAGTGTCTGTCTTGTTCCATGCCTCAGTTTCCCCTACTCTAGAAAGCTTGGGGGCTGGGAGCCCAAGTCCCTGCCCCCCCTCACTGTCTGTCTCCACCCCATCAGCCTGCTGGCCGCCTACTCTACCTGCCCAGACCCTGAGAGCAGGGACAAGCTGCTGAGCACCATCAAGTGTGGCAAACTGCAGAGGTGAGAGTAAGCAGCGCGTGGACCCTCAGGCCTGACCCACGCCCCCTGCCAGCCTGGTACTAGGTTCCCCCTTGCCAGTGCCCCTTATCCCCAACCCACAGCCGCGGGCTCCCCCTCAGTCCAGCTGATTCATTCACTCCAAGGATCAGTAAAACCTCCCCCTGTCTTCAAAAGCTTATTTAGGATTTTTGAATTAGCTCCTGGCTTTGGGGCTATTTTAGTCCCTGTGGTCTAGAGGGAGGCAGGGAGCCAGGACTCCTAGGGTCTCTGTGCTCAGTTTCTGGCTGTAGCAGATGGACGGAAGTTGGGGCCTCCTGCTATGCCCCTCCCCTGGCCCTAACACCCCTTTCCCCATTGTGCTTCCTCCCCCAGGAACCTGGGCCCTGCCCTGAGCAGGACACTCTCCCAGCTGTACTGCAGCCCTGGCCCCCTCTCTTGAACAGGGGGAATCTCATCTGTCCTGTTGCCAGGGACCCCGGCACCTCAGGCTTCGCCCTGGGCCTAGTGCTCTAGCTGGGGACTGCAGGGGTGCTGTAGCCCTTCGACAGGGTGCTGCTGGGCAGGGAGCCAGCTCCCTTGTCCCGGGGCAGAACGGTCAGGTGGGGACTCTGCCTCTGTGGGGTGTACGCCCAGGGGGCATGGTGGCCTTGCAGGGAGGGAGGCTTCTGGGTGTGTGTAGAAGGACTGTCTAGGGCTTTCGGCCCCAGTGTTTGTTTTAATGAGTCTTTGTATTTCCCTTGTTCCAATAAATTTGATTATTCCTTTGTTCCTACTGGGATTTTCCTTCCCGCTAGGGGTGAGAGGGATACCACTGCAAGGGGGGCCAGGTGCCAGGGTTCACCCCCTATCGCATGGGAAGAGGTGCTAATGAGCAGGAATGGACTCCAGCTCAGGTTTATCTCATCCCAGAGCTGAGCTTCTGGTCCTGGCTGTGCAGGGAGAATGCTCCCATCCCTCGCTCCACCCTGGGAGGGGATAGTGCCCCCTATTGAAGGACTTCTGTTCAATGTTTAAGCACATCTGCCTGTGCTTCACGTGGCCAATTATTTCTTCACACTCACACAATTGTGCCTAGTGCTGTCCGGACCCTTCCCCCACACCCGCACACACACTTGATCAGCTCTGGTGCTGGTGGCAGAACCAGAACCCCCCACTCAACCTGCTTTGCCTTATATGGGGTTTGGTCTTGGGGCTTTTACTGAAATTTTCCTTTTTTCAAACCAGACAGTGGAACAGTTGGCCAAAATCACACCTCTGGTCTGCGCAGGAGCCCAGCTCGGGGGTCTCCAGCCAGGGAGGGGCAGAGCCCAGGGCAGGCTGGAGGGATGGGAGATTTGGGTCCAGCTGCATGTCAGTTTCCAGTGTGGCAGCTGGGGTCCCGTACCCCACTGATATCTCTCCAGAGCTGGGTCTGGCTGCGCTGTCTCCTTTGGACCGGTGCCAACCTGCAGGGGCAGAAAACAGCAACGTTGGGGCCTGGGACCCTGCTTTTTGCTGCTTCAGCCCCTAAGGAAAGGGGGAGGCAGGGTGTGTTACAATTCACACCCCCCCACCCCACTGTTCCATGGTCTGAGTGGGCTGGCTCCACCTGCACTGGGATTCCTCGCTTTTACAGCCAGACATTGAGCCCAGCCCACAACGCAGCTGGGTGAGAGAATCTCCAGGGGGCAGATGGGGGATAATCTGCCCCCTTGCACAGTTGTACACCCCCCAGAGCAGCTGGCACAGGCCAGGACACTGGGGCAAATGGCCCTCAGCTCAGCTCCATTCTCATGTGCTGGAGCATGCCCCCACAGCAACCCCAGTCTGGTGGTTGAGCTAGAAGGATACAGTCCAGCTGCATTGGAAGCCCCTGAGCAGTAGAGTTTTTCCCTCGTCTCCCCCGAGGTCAGTTGTTCCCAGGGCAAATCCCTCTCCCTGGTAAACATCCACCCTGCAGTTCCAGGCTGAGTGTCTGGCATTGGCTTCGATTGGCCTTTGTCTGCGGGACAGAGACCCCAGGATCTAGCCCCCTTGGGACTTTCTCTGGGAGAAACTCGCCTGACATGGTTTCCAGCGGAGGATTGTTCTCCTGGCTTCTCAGAGCTGGCTACAATCTTTGCTGGTCAGGGAGGGTCTGAAGGGGCACGGAGCAGAGATAATGGGGCTCCCCCCTTTTCCCTTTAGGGAGATACACACACACCCTGTGGTGAGCTGGAGCCGGTTCGCTGGCTGTTAAATTTAGAAGCCCTTTTAGAACCGGTTGTTCCGGGAGGGGACAACCGGTTCTAAAACGGCTTCTAAATTTAACCGGCCAAAAGTGGCTGGAGCACCCCAGGGGGAAATCTGGTAGGTGCAGAGCACCACCAGCAGCTCCCTGCCCGGCCCCCGCTCAGCTTCTCCGCCCCCCCCAGGCTTCGCACGAATCAGCTGGCGGCTTCACAGCCAGGCGGAGGTGAGCTGGGGGGGGGGGCATAGGGGAACCACTCCCAGCCCCAGCTCACCTCCGCCTCCCTGGGCCTGAGTGCGAAGCCACCGCCTGCTTCTCAGCCCTCCCCGGCTTCCCGCCAAACAGCTGATTCGTGGAAGCTGGGGGGCGGAGAAGCAGAACAGGGCAGCGCATTCAGCGGAGGTGAGGTGATCTGGGGCTGGGCGCGGAGCTGCCGGTGGGTGCTCAGCACCCAGGGAGTCAGTGCCTAAGGCACCACTTCTGATGTGATCAGTGGGGTAGCAGACGCTCCCCTGCCCGTAGGAGCCAGAGGGACCTGCCAGATGCTTCCTGGGAGCTGCCCCAGGTAAGCACCTCTGGGACTGCCCACCTCGCCCCCCAGCAGTTGTCTCTGGCTCTTAGGGGTGGGCACCCACTATGGTGGCCCACGAGACCCTCCTACCCTGTTCTGGGGGCAGTCAGGGGAGGGGGGTGGATGGGGCAGGAGTCCCGGGAGGCGGGGGTGGGCAACGATTCCCTCATGGGGCGAGGAGGGAACTTGTTAAGATTTTGGCAGCTCATCACTGCACACATTCCCACCTCCACAAACTAGCCCTGTCTTACCCAGGCTGGGGCACTAGAAAGAATAGGCTCCCACGAAGATGGTGAGACGCAGCACCGAGCTGGAGCGGTAGCTCATGAGTGAGTTCATAGTCACCATCTCCAGGTCCAGCACATATTCCCGGGGCCCTGTGACAGGCCTGGCCAGAACCAGCATCGCGCTGATGTTATTGATTTGCTGCCAAGAGAGCAGATGAGTGAGTGCAAACCTCCAGGGGGTGCTGACCCAACCAAATCATTTCAGTGTAACTAAAGCAGTGCCCACTTTGTTGCTGACCCAAGTCAAGGTGTGGCTCTGGCGAGAGGGGAAGCTGCTGCCAGCTGTAGGGGGCACCAGTGACATCCCAAAGGGGCCCGGTTTTCTGCTGATCTTATTTCCTGATCCGACCCACCCCCCAAGCACAGGGGTTCAGCCCTGGGAGACCTGGCCCTCGCCCTGATATTGTGGAGCTGATCAGCCACAGCCGACTTGGGCAGCAGAACAAGGCCAGATTTTTTAAAAGGTGTTTAGGCACCTAACTCCCCTTGAAATCAAGAGCATTAGGCATCTAAATGCTGTTTAAAACCTGCAGCCTGTTCTAGCCCTGCCCCTCACTAGCACCATCCAGTGGAGTGGCTCCAAGTGCATGCAGGCTGGAGGGAATCCCCTCCGGCTCAAGGAGGCAAAGGAAAAGGGGGCTCAGGGCAGTCACTTCCTGCTGCTTTGATTCACCCTGCATCCCTGCCTCCTCAGACTTCTCCCTTGCAAGTTCCTACTCACCTTCTGCTTGTCTCCTGTATCCCCCTACTACCCCCAGTAATAACTAGGGGGGCATCCATAGCTTCTGTTGCCCAAGCACATCGCCCCCACCAGTGCTCCTGGAATCCGTCCACCCAACCTCCACCCTCTCTAGTTCAAGGATTCCCTGTCACCCCCCCACACCCCTCATTCCAGGGGCTCTGTCTGCTCCCCCTTTACTCCCCCGCCCCGCACACCACCACCAATGAAATAGCTGCTTCTTCTTTGGTTGGCTGAGTTTAGACTAATGCAGGAAGTCCTGCCTCCAGGGCAGCACCCACTGGCTGGTGCTATGAGCAATTCAGAATGCCCCCCCTCACAGAGGAGATCGGGCCTACTGGCTGGGTCTCTGGATGAGTGGGACATGCCCATTGCCTGGCACTACGAGCAACACAGAAAGTCCTGCATTCTGGTAGCAGCCCTCCCACTATTGATAATTTGGCTAAAAGAGGAAGTCCCGCCTTCTGCAGTGGTCTGTCCTGTCCAGAGCCCCCCGCTCCCCTCCCCCCACTCACCCGGATGTAGAACTCCCCCTGCTCATTGCCAGAGCGGATCTGGAAGGCATTGTAGGCTCCAGGGTAGACACTGGTGGCCTGGATCTGGAAGACGTCAGAAGGAACGGTCCGGTCAGCTGTGATGCTCATGTAACGGTGCACGATGGATGAGGGCTGCTCCCGGCACAGAGGGTTCGTGGTAGGGCACAAACAGCGGCTGTGAGGGAGGGACAAAGTTAGTGTGGGGCAGGACATCTGTGGTCCATCCCTGGGTCTCTCACTGACTTTCCGACTGCATAGAATTGGGTATTTCGGTAGGGTTGCCAACTTTCTAATCACACAAAATTGAACACCCTAGCCCCGTCCCTTCCCTGAGGCCCTGCCCCTACTCACTACATACCCCGCTCTCTCTCACCCTCACTCACTTTTGTTGGGGCAGGGGCTTGGGGTGCGGGAGGGGGTGAGGGTCCAGCTGGGGAATGAGGGGTTTGGGGTGCAGGAGGAGGCTCCAGGGTGGGGCTGAGGGATTTGGAATATGGGAGGGGGCTTCAGGTTGAGGCAAGGGGTACGGGCTCTGGGGTGGGGCCAGGGATGAGGGGTTTGGGGTACAGGAGAGGCTCCAGGCTGGGGCTGAGGGATTCAGAGTGTGGGAGAGGGATTCAGAGTGTGGGAGGGGGCTGCAGGCTCTGGGGTGGGACCAGGGATGAGAGCTTTGGGTGCAGAAGGGGGCTCTGGGTTTGGGGCACGGACTTACCTTGGGCAGCTCCCGGTCAGCAATGCAGCGGGGCTAAGGCAGGCTGCCTGCCTGTCCCGACACCACGCTGTGTGCACCCCGGAAGCGGCCAGCAGGTCCAGTGCTAGTAGGCAGGGGGCAGGAGCCACCCCCTCCCCCCACAACTCCCATTGGCCAGTTCCCATTGCAGAGTAGGGGCAGGTTCTTCTCCACGCAGCAATAGCCTGGGAGCTGGACCTGCTGGCTGCTTCTGGGGCGCAGCGCGGTGCCAGGACAGGGAGGAAGTACCCTTCCTAAGATCTGCAGCACCCCTGACCGGCCCTTTAATGGCCCAGCACCGCCAGGGTCCCTTTTCGACCGGGCGTTCCTATATTTCCCCTTTGGTCACCCTATATCTTGGCAAAACGCTCATCCCCCAGCCACTGGAAAATGTGGCATTACTAGGCACAACACTGGGGCCAGTACTGAGTGCAAGGGGAGAGAGCCTCCTACTGAGCCCTCTGACCCTGCAGCATGGCACCTCCTAGTGCCACATTGGGGTCAGCATTCATTACAATGCAAGCCTGGTGGTTCCTCATGAGTCTCCATCCAGGGACAACCCTGCTTAGCTAAGGGAAACCACCCAGTCCCCACCAAGCACACCACGCAGACTCACTTGTCAGACACCTGCACATAGGGCTCCAGGCAGCGGTTCTTCTCCACGCAGCGATAGCCCCCATGGAAATTGATGCAGCTTTGGGCCTCGGTGCATTGGTGGGCGCCCGTCTCACACTCGTTAATGTCTGCGGTGGGGAGAGACTGGGGTAACTGGAGTCAGACCCCAATCAAGATCAGGGCTCTCATTGTGCTAGGTGCTGCACAGACCCCAACGCAATCAGGGGCCCCCACTGGACCGGCCACCACACAGGTCAAGATCAGGGCTCCCACTGTGCCAGGCACTGCACAGAGACACAGTGACAATCTCTGCCCCAAAGAGCCCCCAGTCTGAATAGACATGGGGCGGGAAGGGAAACTGAGGCACCGGGAGAGGAAGGAACTTTTCCAAGGTGAGTAGCAGAGCCTGGAATAGAACCCAGGAGTCCCGAGTTCTTGCCCGCTCCTAGCCAATAGATGCCCTACCACTGGAGGCAGGATGCTCTGGGGCCACAACAGGGATCTGTTCAGATCTTGGCCTCTCTCCTGGGATGACTGGCACAGAGAAGGGGGAAATCCCAGAATGCATTTCACACAGCTCTACTGTAGCCCTCAATCCCAACCTATAGCCCCCTGCTATGCTAAGCCACCCCCTTTCAATGGCTCTTGCAGGGGTTCTGGGATTTCTTTAGGGCAGCAGGGGCTGCTCAGGGCTGGGGCCAGCTGGGGTGGGTGGAGTGTGCTGGGGAGGAAGTAGCTCTGTGGTGGAAGCCCCTCCCAGTGCTGGGAAGCATTGGTACCTTGGCAGAGGCGGGTGCCCAGGAGCTGGTAGCCCTGGGGGCAGTCGCAGGAGAATCTCCCTGGCTCATTGATGCACTGGAACTGGCACAGGTAGCTGGAGTAGCTGCACTCATCGATATCTGGTTCGGGGAAGCAAAGCGTGAGAGGCCCGGGCTCCCTTCACCTCCTAGTCCACCACTGCCCCCACTCCAGGAACCACAGGAAATGTCTGTGCCCATCAGCCTCATTAGAGATTGTCCTTCATAGCCAATCGGTGGGAAAAGAGCAGGGGGCGGAGCTAAGAAGGTCCCCAAGGCAAGGGAATGGGCAAGTGGGTGGAGCAAAGCAAAGGGGAGGGGCTAAAGGGAATGGGGCGGGAACATGGGAAAGTGGGAGGAGCAGAATGGAATAGGAGGACCTAGAACTGGAGATGAGAAGGGAGGAATTGCCAGCAGGGAAGGGCTAAGGGAAATGGGAAGGGTTAAAATTGTGGAGGGGCTAAAACAGGAGGGGGATAAAAGGATGGTAGCTGATATACAACAAGATGGGGCTAGAAATGGGAGAAGCTCAGGGTAGGGGAGGGGCTACAGCTATGGGAGGAGCTAGGCCTGGGGAATGCTAAAAGCAGGGGAAGGCTAGGACTGGGGGCTGGGCTAGGGGCAGGGGCCAGGCTCACCTACCATTGCAGGTGAACCCGTCGCGGTCGAGCTCATAGCCCTGGTTGCAGCGGCAGATGAAGGTGCCGTAGGTGTTGAAACAGCGCTGCCCGCACGGTGCCCCCATCTCACACTCATTCACATCTGCAAGGAAAGCGCAGTGTGAAATCCCAACACGCCCAGCACCGGGATGCGACTGCTTCGGGGGGGGGGGCAGGGTGGTGTATAACAGTGTTCAAATGCCCACCAAGTGATGCAAATGGGAAGAGGAACAGAACCCAAGAATCCTGAGTCCCAGCCCCCATTGTCCCCCTGGCAGGGCGGGTCCCTTACCCACGCAGGAGCGGTTGTTGCTGGCCAGCTGGAAGCCTGGCTCACACTGGCAGGAGAAGGAGCCTGGGGAGTTGACACAGCGATGCTGGCAGTATCGGTACCGGCACTCGTCGATGTCTGCCACACGGGAGAGAAGGGGTTAAACTCATTGTCCTCCACCCCAGCCCTGCGCCCCCCGGTGGCCGGTGCCCACTCACCCACACACTCGGAGCCAATCTTGCGGTAGCCGTCAGGGCACTTGCAGTGGAAGGCGCCGGCTGTGTTGATGCACTCCTGGCTGGGCTGGCAGTCGTGCAGCTCGTACTCGCACTCGTCCACGTCTGCAGGGGGCAGCACCGGGACATGCAGGGTTAGCCGGGACAGACAGCCCCCCAAGCCGGGCATCAGGCCCCAGGGGTGTCCTGGATCTGCCCCATAGAATCACCAGCCTCTGCCTGTGGGGAAGCAGCTCCCTAACCCCCAGTGATACCAATTGCCTCCCTCCCAGTGGGCCTTGTGCCCCCCACACACCCGTGGCTGTTCCCCCTGCCTGTCCTCCCACCATTCCCTCCTCCATCTGGCCATGCCCCCTGCCTGTCCTCCCCGCAGCCATTTCCCTTGCCCCTCCCCCAGCCATGCCCCCTGCCCCTCCTCCCCACCATGGCCCCTCCCCCCAGCCATGCCCCCTTGCCCCTCTTCCCCCCAACCGCTCCCTGTTTACTCACCCAGGCAGGAGCCATGCCCGTCAGGCTCGTAGCCCTGGGGGCAGGCGTTGTGGCGGGAGGCGGTGAGTGAGGGTCGGGGAGGTCGGGGTCGAGGGGCACTGGGGGGCGCAGCATTCTCCGAGTGCACATCATTGATGACGGAGGCTGAGCGCGGCAGGCACAGGTACCCCCCATAGTGATTGATGCATTTCATCTCCCCCTTGCAGGCCTCGGGGATGGTCTCACACTCGTTCACGTCTGGGGACGGGCCCAGGGTCAGAACGCAGGAGTCCAAGCCCTTCCTTCCAAGGACCCCCTCCCAGCCCTGGGGTAGAACCCAGGAGTCCTGGCTCCCAGCCCCCCACCTTCAACCACTCCCCACAGTCCCGCCTCATACCTTTGCAGTGCTGTGTGTCTGAGTCCCACTGGTATCCATCTGTGCATTCCTAGGGGTAAGAGAGGGAGACGGTTACAGTCGGGGGTCCACAGGCAGTGGGGAAAAAACCCAAATATAGGAGTGAAGAAATCAAAGGGCTGAACCAACAGGATCCCATTGCCCTTGAAACCATTAATGGGCCCTGCAGGATCAGGAGAGGAACCCAGGTGTCCGAGGCCAGCTCAGGGCAAGCAGGCAGCTAAGGGAAAACTGATCGGGCCCTGCACAGACCCCACTGGGAGCAGGGCAGCAGGGACGGACGGACGGACACAGAGCAGGGCTCATCCTCTCCAGCAGGGGGCAGCATGCACCCACACACAAAACTCTCCATAGATTGAATTTATGTCCCAGACCAGGCAAATCATAATGGTGGGGAGGGGAAGGGGGGCAGGTGCACAAAGCACCTCTGCTTGGGAGTGAAATTGGGGGGTGTTGCAGGAAGCCTCTGAAATAGAGGGGAGGGTGGCACCCAGCCAGGGGGCGCAGAATAGAGGGATACAAGGAACCCTGGTGGATGCGATGAGCTCAGTTGAGAGAAGCTACGAAGGGAGCGACCGCTAAATTAATCCGGCAGCGTTAGTGTCTCACTTTGTGAGCAGTGGGGCTGTGCAGCCCAGTTTGTTATTCCAGGGTCTCTCAGGGGCACTAAGGATGGGACCCCCTCCAATATCCTGGAGTTTTGCTGAGGGATCCTGGCATACACAGTCCCCGTGCCCCACCCCAGAGGCAGCTGCATCTCAGCACCAGGCAAGGGACCCTGTATAAACAGCCCACGCACTCCACCCCAGAGGGCATGTGCAGGGTGGGCAACACTGACGCGTTCTTACCGTGTAGGTATCAGGTTCCTCCAGCTCCTGTGCAAGTGTCGCGCCCACCAGCACTGCCAGCAGCAGGCAGGAGACGGGCCACATGGTCCTGCCAGGGGTAAGGCAGGGGTTAGTGTCACCCACCCACAGTCCTGCCAGTGCCCCTCAGACTGAACCAACAACCCCCCAGACAGGTAATCAGAAACCCCTCTCAAGTGGATCTGATCCGTGGCCTGGTATCCCCACTATGCATCATTGCCTCTGTACTGCTGAGAATGAAGGCAATTCCCCTTGGGCCTTGGGGACAGAGATCCTGTCCCTGCAGCTGCCATGGGGCCAAGCGCACCCCACAGTGCCCTAGAACATACGGAATATGGATTCCCCTCCCTGCAAGGTGAGGCTTCCCCCGCCATCCCCTCCTCCTCCCAGTCTCCCAATGCCCAGTGGATTCAAAGCCAAAGAGCTTGGTGGGGACTTTGGCTCAGAGCATCCAGATCACCCTCATTCCTGTCCTCACTTGGAGTCCATCCAGCCCCATTTGGAGGGTGATGGGGGAGGAGCGGGGACCAACCATCAATGGCAGCCCCTCCCCGTACATTGTATCTTGCCCTTCCCACTGGGCCTCCCCCCCCTCCCCAATGGCAGAGACCCCTGGAGTTCTGGATGGCTTGGAGGTTTCACACCTGGGTTCAAAGTGAGGGCATGTCATGAGTTGGAGGGTCTAGCATTGAGTTCCCATTATAATCCAGCCAAACATTGGCAGACTAGGCCTCAATGGCTGAGATGGCAGGGGGACCACAGGTCTGGACTGAGGGGGATCAGCTGAGCAGAGGGGGGGGCAGGGCTGGGAGGGCAGGGGACTATGGGTCTGGATTGAGGGGCACTATCCAAACAGAGGCTAAGGGAGTCTATCAACTCCTCTCCTGAGGCAGGAGCTCTGGTCAAGTCCAGGCTAATTATAGCCTCTCTGTGGCTATGAATAGCCATCCACCCAGCTCCCAGACCGTCTGGAACCCAAAGCCCCTTGGCCAACCCAATTTGTGGGAGAAGGGGACCCCAGAGCAGCCATCAGCAAATCAGAGCTGTGGGGAACTGGGACATCCCAAGGCTGGGCAGGAGCATTGTAGCATGGTGGGGAACAGGGGATTGGTGTCAGAAATGGGATCAGGGGGAGGGGGCATCCTTAGGGGATTGAGGGAAGCAAAGTGGAGACCCCCCCACCCAAAGTACACAGCAGAAAGTATGGATGGATGGTTCCAATGCACAGCCTGGCAGGAACCCTCTCACTGACCCAGCACTGTCAATATTTATGTCTGGCTGGGTCTACAATTAGTCTCTGGGGCCTGGAGCCCTGTGGCCTCTCCCAGCCAGCCAGAACACACGTGTAAGGAAACATGGGTGTGCCCTAGAGGAGTGTACAAAATGACACCTCCCCCACCCACAGCCACCCTAGACCATGCTCTCCAGCTGTTGTCCCAAGGCCTGGTATTGCAGGGAAGGGAGGGGGCAGACTAGAGCTGCCCTGCTGGGCTCTTCCTACTCTCCTCTCCCCTACCCCAAAACTCTGTCCTGCTGCTGGAAGAAGGTGGGTGAGGGAAGAGCCCTGACTGCCTCCTGCACAAGCTGTGATTGGCTGCTCTTCCCCAGGAGGTGGAGCATTGGGGAGGGCAGCCCATCAGAGGGGGATCCCCCAAAGGGCAGGATCTCCTGAGACTTGTCTCCAGAGGGGCTTTTCTGAGAGAGGTGGACACAGGTGGTGGTGTGGGGATCAGGGAGAGACCCCGGCAGCAGGAGAGGCAGGCTGGGGTGACTACTGGGAGGGATCCCAGCAGTGAAAGGGGTGGGTGGCATGGGCAGCACAGGCTGGGATCCCAGCGGTGGAGGAGGCAGGCAGTGTAGGGAGTGCAGGCTGGGGTGATGACTGGATGGGAATCAGGCTGGGATCCCAGCAGTGGAGGAGGCAGGTGGTGTGGGGAGGGCAGGGCAGGGGAGGGATCCTGACAGCAGGATCCTGGCAGTGAGTGAGGGGAGCACTATGGGGAATGTAGGCCAGGGCACAGGTCAGAGAGGGATCCCAGCCAGCGGGGAGGCAGGCAGTTTGGGGAGCGCTGCGGGGGGGGACTTGGGAAGAAATCCCAGCAGTGGGGAGGCAGGCGGTGTGGGGAGCAGGGGGTTGGGGGGAGGGGAATTGGGGAGGGATCCCAGCAGTGGGGGGGTCTGGGGGGAGGGGAATTGAGGCAGGATCCCAGCAGTGGGGAGGCAGGCGGTGTGGGGAGCAGGGGCTGGGAAGGGACGGGAATTGGGGAGGGATCCCAGCAGTGGGGAGGTGGGGGGGGGTCTGGGGGGGAAGGGGAATTGAAGCAGGATCCCAGCAGTGGGGAGACAGGCAGTGTGGGGAGCAGTGGCTGGGGGGGGCAGAGGGGAATTGGGGAGGGATCCCAGCAGCGGGAGGGCACATGGTGTGGGGAGCACAAGGCGGGGAAGGGCTCAGGGAAGAAGCCTGGTGTGTGTGTGGGGAGGGGGGGGAACATGGGTGTATAGGGGTGGGCCAGGTGGGGGACAGGCAGTTAGGGGGTGAGGTGGGGAAGTCTATATTTTGGCCCAGCCATCTCTGAGCTGGCTCCGTTAGGGGTACTCCTCCCTCCCGCCCCGGTTGGGGTCAGTGGGTCACAAATGGCTTATCTCGGCCTTGGGGAGGGGTCTGACCTGGCGGGGTCCCGCTGGCCCTGCACCGATCCCAGCCCGTCAGGACCCCCCCATCACTACCAATCGCGTGGCTGGTGCCACGGCTACAAAGGGGGGATTCCCAGAAGTTTCGGGCACAGGGATAACGCCACCGGGACCCCCCCGACGCTGACCCCGCAGGGCTCGATCCATACACGGCCCGGTCCGCTCCCGGGGATCCCCCACTGACCCTTGCACGGCTCGATCCCCTCCGGCCCCACTTACCGTCCGGGATCGGCCCCCCGCCCCCGTGCTCAGGCCGGGGGGTCCGGTCTGCGCCCCCCGGGCAGGACGGTCAGCCCCGATCCCCCACGGCCGGGCGGGCGCACACGGAGCGGGCGCTGGCGGCCGAGGCTCTCTGGGAGAGACGCGCTGGCTCCCCCCGGCCCCCCTGCCCCGAATTCCTGGCCCCGGGCCAGCGGGACCCGCCCCGCACCTGGATCCACTTACAGCCGGCGCCGCGCGCCCCGGGCCGACCAGCTGCGAGACCGCGCCCCCTGCAGCCCCTGCCCGAGCCCCCCACTGCTCCACCCCGCCCCATCACCGCCTGCCCCACCGCTCCACCCCCGCCCCCCACCGCTCCACCCCGCCCCATCACCTCCTGCCCCAGCCCCCCACCCCCACCATCTCTTGCCGCAGCCGCTCCACCCCTATACTCCCTCCAGCCCCGCTTTACCCCTGCCCCCTGCAGCCCCAGCCGCTCCAGCCCCCCTGCTTCACCCCTGCCCCCCACCGCCTGCCCCAGCCCCATCACCCCCTTGCTCCACCTCATCATCTCCTGCCCTCCCCACAGCCCCGCTCTACCTCCTGCCCCCAAGACCCCCAACCACTCCACCCCCAACCCCGACTCCTCTGCCCCAGCACTGTTCTCTTTTACTTCCCCCAGACACTCACTCATCCCCAGCCTCCCTCTGCCCCCCCCCCACTCCTTCACACACCCCTCTCCCTGGAAACCCCTGCCTCTGCACCCTCTCTGCCCACCCACCTTCTTCCCTGCCCTCCCCCATGGAACCCCTACCACTTATCTCCACCTCTGTCCCCCCTTCCCATCCATCTCCCTGCTCCCCACCTTCACCCCATCCCAGGGAGTGGGGATGGTTAATCCTGAGGCACATTTGCCCCTCTCTAAACACACCCTTCCACCACATGGCCTACCTCAGCAGGGGACGGGGGTTCTGTGCATTTATCCCCTGGCCACTCAGCGGCCCCCCCTATAGGGGTAAGGCTCTGTGTGCTGTCCTGCCCCCAGGCGGTGACTTTTGCTGACTTACACAAGTGGCTAGTAAGTTCCTGGGGGGGGAGGGGGGAAAGAGCCCCGAGCCCCCCCAGCAGAGGTGTGGACACCCCGATAGCCTCCCCCAGTGTTAAAGCTGGACACAGTCCAAGGAGAAATGTGACACTGTTTTTAACCCTGAGGTTAATTAACCCTGGGACCAAACAGCCAAGGGCCGTGGTGAATTCACATCTCTCAGGGTCTCCAGCTCCAGCCTGGCTACCTTCGGGAACATGCTTCAGTCCAGCACCCGTGCCTGGGCTCAGCACCAGGGGTGATGGGTGACATTCTCTGGCCAGGGCCCCCCAGACTAGCTAGTCTCATGGTCTCTTCTGGCCTGAAAATCTATGGATTGGTGTTGGATACACACACGCCAGGGTGGATCCCAGGCACGAGACTGTGGCTTCCCCCTGATGGAACTTCAAACCTGTTCTGGAGGGTCTTGGCTCCCAGCCCTCCCCCTGCCCTAACCCCCCAGACTCCACTCCCCTCTCAGAGTTGGGAACAGAACCTAGGAGTCCTGGCTCCCAGCCCCCCGCCCCGCTCTAACCACTAGACCCCCCTCCCTGAGTTGGGATAGAACTCAGGAGTTCTCTAGGATCTGGGGCGGGGCAGCGCAGCACTATGGTATGGTGCCCCCAGGGGCTCACTCGGGAATGGGGAGGTGCAGACAGAGCAGCCCCCTGGGGAAGGGATTAGCTGCACGGAGGCTCCGGTGTTCTGTCTGAGCTGTCACTGGGCCCCTGTGCAGGGTCGTCTGGAGAACAGAGACATGTGGCGGGGGGAGGGGGGAATGGGAATCAGGACTCCTGGGTTCTTTCAACACAAACTTCCGCCAACATGTATCCCCTGCCCCCAGGGTGCTCACTCAAGACTTTGGCCCTTAATTTCCTATTTTAATTTTAGAGTAAATTATGTTAAATAGAATCAATGACCGCTCTGGCCCTCAATCCTAGCCCATAACCCCCTGCTAGCCCAGCCCTAGCCCCACCCTCCCAGTTCTGCCGGCGCCCCTCAATCCTGGCCCATAGCCCCCTGCTAGCCCAGCCCTAGATCCCCCCCAGCGCCCCTCAATCCTGGCCCACAGCCCCTTGCTAGCCCAGCTCTAGACCCCCCCAAGTTCTGCCAGCACCCCTCAGTCCTGGCCCCCAGTGCCCTGCTAGCCCACTCCTGGGCTCCCCACGGGCTGTATGCAGGGATGTAACAGCGTGAGGGGCAAGATCTCATTAGGTTTGTTCAGCTCTAGGGTCTGTGTTTCTCCCTAAGCCTTGCGTAGATCTGAGGGAGGCCCCCCACACCTGGCAGTTTCCCCATAGCATGGGTCACCTCGAAGATGAGTCCTGGGAGGAGCTGAATTGTGACCATGGGGTGGCAGCAACTCCTGGAAACAGCTCCGCCACAGCCGCCCACGGATGTTGAAGGATGGAGAAGGGGAAACCAGGGCTCGCGCCGTAGCTCCAATCCAGGAGGGTGTTGGTGGTGGGGATACCAGGCCGGGCCCGTGGCTCCGATCCAAGGGTGGGATGGAGATACCAGGCCGGGCCCGCGGCTCCGATCCAAGGGTGGGGTGGAGATACCAGGCCGGGCCCGCGGCTCCGATCAGGGCTGGGAGTGGGGATACCAGGCCAGGCCCGCAGCTCCGATCGGGGCTGGGAGTGGGGATACCAGGCCGGGCCCGCGGCTCCGATCGGGGCTGGGGGTGGGGATACCAGGCCGGGCCCGCGGCTCCGATCCAGGGATGGGGTGGGGATACCAGGCCGGGCCTGTGACACTGATTGGGGGTCGGGATACCAGGCCAGGCCCTGGCTCTGATCCACGGGGTGTTGGTGGTAGGGATACTGGGCTGGCCCCATGGCTCCGACTAGGGGCTGGTGGCAGTGAGGTTACTGGGCCCGGCCCATGCTTTGAGCTAACCCTAACAAAAACTCGAATCCAACAGTTGGCTCTTCCATTTATTTTCCAAAATGAGCTAAAACTCCAAAGATGGAGACAGGGAATCTCGGGTGGAGGCAGTGCCCAGCCCTGGGGAAGTGGCGGGGATGACTTCACATCAGAGCTCCCAGGAAAACAGAACCAGGGCAGAGGGATCCGGCAGAGGGATCAGCGGTAGAGCAGGGCATTTCGAGCAGTTAGGGCTCCCCCTGCTTGTCAGTCGTGGTACATCTTAAGCAGGCAGGATTTGATGGTGCTCATGTACCGATCCCAGAGAGCCTGGTGCCTGCGGGTAAAGAACGGGGATGTCAGACAATGGCACCGAGACACATCCGCCTCTGGGGCGGGGCATGGAGGCTGTTAATACAGGAACCCCTCGCCTGGAGCTGAGATGCAGCTGCTCTGCGGTGGGGTATGAGACTACGGATAAGGGGTTCGGTCACCTGCTACTGAGATGCAGCCTTCTCTGGACTGGGGAGCAGAAGCTGTTTATAAAGGGATCCCTCACCTGGTGCTCAAATGCGGCTGGCTCTGGGATGGGGCTGCTGGTTAACAGCTGCCATCAACGCTACCCTCGAGTTTAGGACAGGAAGAGTCTGTGAGCAGTGACTTTGGTGGTGGCGGCCCCCAAATCCCTGGCGGGCGGCACTTACCGGAAGGCGTCCAAGGTGTGAGCGGACATCGTGTACTGCGTCAGGAAGAGTCGGACGTCGTTCAAGGTCCACTTATCCGACTTGCAGGGCTCAATGAACTGGGGAGAAGGGGGAAAAGGAGTCAGAGACAGCCTGGGTCCTGGGGGCAACACCCCACAACCTCACCCTCATCCCCTGCTTGCTGGGAATTGGGACTGGCTGGCTCGGGGAGGGGAGGAATGGGACCTGGTGCAGTTCCCCTCTTGGTGCCTCTCCAAGTCTATAATTCCCCATGTGGGGTGATTTGATGGGTCTCAGCCCAGTTCCCAAGGGGCCAGAGTCCCCAGTATAGCCCCGCTCCTCTCCTAGGCACTAACCAACTTCCTGCCCCACCAGCGTGGAAGCTGGGGGGTGATCACGCCATGACGGTCAAATCTCCCTCTTCCCTCCCACTTCCTAGGAATGCAGGGCAGCATGTTTTCTAGGGGCTGGCTTTGGGGGCCTCTCCCTGCCCTGGGGGCACCCAGGAGTGCCACGCCACCCCCAATTCACCCACAGACATTAAATCCTGGCCGTGGAGAATCTGAGAAGTCTATATGTGTGTGGGGAGGAGATGGGGTTGGTACATATGGAGCAGTGTATGGGGGCGAGGGGTATGTCCACCAGTCAGTCCAGGTGTGGGGGGCCATGACCACCTGTGGGGGAACAGGATGGGGGTGAATACATGCAGGGTGCATGGGGGGTGGTACCTTTTCCACTAGGTCGATGAAGAAGTCACGCACGTCCTTGGTGTGGATCAGCTTGGAGGCCATATTGACCAGTGCCCGTGACAGGTTCTGTGGGGCCCAGAAAGTTCACCAGAGCGTCACGGGGGCTCCCACGCCTCAGGGATCTGCGCAGTTACAAACTGCTCCCCCCACCCGCCAATTCACACACAGGGGAAGGGACTCACCAGGGTCGCTCAGTGAGTTGGTGACTGAGAAGTGGAGAGAACCCAGGAATCCTGCCTCCCAGTTCCAAGCCAGAAGGGGGTAGGGGCCGAGGGTGGAGCTGGCTCCTGGGGACACCCCAGAATGAGAGGAGGATGGATCTGAGGGGAGGGTGTCCGTGGCCCCAGCACCCCCAGGCATTCAGAGCCCAGAAGGCTGGTGGGGCCCGGCAGCCTGACTCAGAAGCCCCCTCTGGTGGGCGCCTCAGGCATGGCAGGTGCAGATGGAGGTGGGGGGTTCAGGGGGTCCACAGCAGGAGGCTGCGGCACCAGGCAAGCCAGGCCATGGGCTGCAGCCCTTCACTGACACACAGGGGACCCATGTGATCAGGTAACGCAGAGGAAATGCATTGATAGGTGGTGCCAACAGGGGGCACCACCCAGAGGCCTGGCCACTGAAGGGGGCTTCTTGAACCGGGAGGGGGAATCCGCCCTCCACATTCCCATTACTCACTCCTTGTCCCCCACCCCTGGCCCCAGGACACACCTTGAAATTGGCTTCCATCTCGTTGTACACCGAGCTCTTCCCACGCAGTGACGTACACACCAGGCT